GAGTTTGTCACCATTACATAGTCCTTGGAGGCTTAATGCCTTTTAATATAGATATTCCATTTAGCAATCATGGTTCTTGATCGACCTATCCATCAATTTAATGTAATAAAACAACAAATAAACAAACACATAACCTGTTATAAAGGTAAAAAAAGCCTTGAACTATATTTTAGGCAGCAGTAAGATGCATAAAGGAAGAAAGTTTTCCATACAGATTCTTCACCCCTGTGTCTGTCTGCCTGAGCCAATACCAATCAATTTCATCAGATGACCTCAAGTATTATGTGAAAGGAAGACGTTGCTCACTCTCCATCTTCTCTCCACTGTTTAAAATGTTATGAAACTCTTTCATGACATCCCTCCAAAGATCCCAAGGATTGAGCACTGTTTACTTGAACCAGAAGTGAGTGAACATTTCTTAATCTTCCAATATGCACTAAGCTCAGAAAAAACACAATTGATTTGGCAAAGTAACATCTCTGTTATTTATGTTTGTTTGGTTTGTGCCCCTTCCATGCATATATATTGCATATCTTAAAGCTTTGAGACAATCAAAAGCTAGAAAACCTGACGTGTGGAGGCAAAACTGTTTATAGGATCCTGTTTTCCTTCTTAATTTCTCCATTTTCCCAACTAAAACCTCTTCCTCCTCACAAGCAATTATTTGTTATAAGAGTACTGAAATTTACAAGATAAAAAAGTGTAGCATAGGCTAATGGGCATACCATTTTTCCTACTCCAATCAACCTGTACTTGGATTGTTGATATCCCATGACTGACCTTTTCTTTCCCAGAAAACTTGAACTGTTTTCAAACATTCCATATCAAAACAAAAGTTCATCTCACAGTTGTGATCAGGAGATTTGCAAGATAGAGGTGGAAAGCTTTTAAACACTGCAAAAGCATGATAATATATCTGAAAAGATTATTTGCACTTGAACTGGATGCAAGGACAAAGAATATTCCTAAAGCCAACTTATAACTGATAGTGGGACATTTATGGACCATTTGCCACCTTTATTCAATACTACATATGTGTCATTAATGACACATTAAACATTATGGAGATGAAGAAAAGCAGTTCTTAATATTCCGGACCTAATGTTGCCGTGTCATTCTGACACTAATTCACCCAATGAATTCTGCACCTTTGTCATAAACGTGTCACCCGTGCATCATTACCAAATGAATTACACTGCAGCCTACTTAGAATGTAGTTTAATGTAATAAATTTCTCCTTAAAGGAAACATTTGATATGATGAGTGAAATCAAATTACCATGGTTTGTCCCTGGTATAGCAATTCTTCACTTAATGAAGACTTAATGAAAACAATCATTCTAACAGAGTTCATAGTTGAGAACTTTCCACCACCATACAACCTGTTTAAAAAGAGTCTTCTTAAAGGTAGATCAGAATATTGAACGATCTGATCCATCAGGGAGTCTGTCTTTTTTTTTTTTTTTTAGCCCAAGGGCCAAATTCAATTTTGGAGAAGTTCTCAGAGCCTCATTCCCATTGTGGGAATGGCTGAAGACAAAATTCCAAACCTATGAGTATATTTTACCGTAAAGCTTGTATTTGCAGTAACTAAGTCTTAGAAGAGACATCCCAGTCTTTCAGAAAGGTAGGAAAAAACCCTGCACAAAATCTGGGAAACACTAAATGATTGGTAGTTGGCGGAAAGGGGGCAGGGCCAAGGGAAGTGACAGACATGTAATTGCAGCCCAGAAGGAAATCCCATTGAACTCACAGATTAATCTTTGGTAAGTGACAATGCCCACAAAACCATGTGTTTCACTGTCTTCCCCCATGTCCTTTTCATACCCCCCTATAAGAATTATTTCTACCAGCAGAACATTTTATCATAGTAAAATGCCAATCATTCTCTAGGATCTTCTGTCCATGGTTTCACAATGGAAGTTTATGACATTGAGCAGAATCAGCTGGTCACAGCAGGAATTCCCTTTTGTTGCCAAGAGTTGGAATGGTACAGTGATGTGTATTCATGGGCATTTATACACTTATTGTTCTTTTACTGAACTCCTCTTTCCTTCCTTGCTAAATGTAAAAGGGGGGGGGGAGACTCTAACTAGTTGCTTTAGCTCAATAAATGATCTACAATAATCTCCCCCCCCCCCACTTTTAAATCTAGTCCTGCTTGAGACATCTAGGTTCATAAACACACTTTTTGTCAAAAGGCAAACAAAGGGAAAATAAAAGCAAGGTGCCCACGTCCCAAAGTAAATGGCGTAGGGTCTGAGTTCCAAAAGGGAAGGCACTCTTGAACTCACTCTTTTATGCTCCAGCAGCCATTTCACAGAAGATAAACTGATGAGGTGTAGAGATAAGAAACTGAATACAAGTAGAGGTGGTGATGGAGCCCCAAATGTCAAATCACATTTTCCCCCACAGAACAAAGCAAAGCAAAATACCTATTTTGCTGAAAGCAACCCAGTGATTGTCGGAGAAAAGAAGCAGCATCCGCCTCCTCCAAAAGTATCTCCCTGAACCATCCTGGATCTTTCTTTTCTAAGAACAGTGGGTCCCCAAGCAGTCTTTGAAATAAAACTGGCACTGGAACTGGCACTTCACCCTACGCCACACCAGCACCCCAGTTTTGTTTCAAGACTTACAAAGGGAAAGACAATCAAGCAGGACAGGGAGTCCACCACCAGAGGTAGCCACACTGGTGTCCTTGGGGATCTCAGGCCTCATGTATCTCATATGGTTGGTGTGAGGATCACATAAGGACCTAGACCAGAAATATCACCTTGAGCTCCTTGTAGCTACTAGAAGGTTTACACCCACACCTACAGAAAGAGAGAGAGAGAGAGAGAGAGAAAGCACTTTCCCATTCCATTTAGAGTAGCAACCTGGTGTACTCCAGGTGCATTGGACAACAACAATTCCATTCACCATTCTGAAAGGTTAGAGTGATGGGCATTGTCTACTCAAAAGAACAGCCATGCTGGATCAGACTAAAGGTCTATTCAATCTAGCACTCTGTATGCGCAGTGGCAATTCAGCTGCTCACAGGATCCCTCAAGCAGGATGGGGGCAAGATCTCCTCCTGCCCAAGCTCATCAGCAACTGGAGTATGCAGGCTTGTCTCCTCTGGTAAAGGAGATAGCACAGCCAGTGGGTGGCAGCCGCTAGTTGCCTCCTCCTCCATGTATCTGTCCAATCCCCTTTTAAAGTCAGCCAGATTGGCGGCCACCAACACTTCCATGGCAGCAAATTCCACAGCTTAACTATATGCAGCGTGAAGAGCTAATCTGGAGCTTACCCTTAGGAATCAGACAGCCATAGGTCCAGGCAGGTGATGTGTCCATCAATTTCTACTTGCTGACTCAACCAAGCTCACCCTCATTTCTGATCAATAAACTATGACTTATACAGTCAACATAAAAACCATGTTTGGAGGTTGATTATGGGCTGAGCGTGGGTTGTTACGGGACCAGGGGTAACTGTGTTGTCTGAATCCAGTTGTGCTACAGAGAACCTGTGATTTGTTGTTAGGTGGTGAACTGTGAGTTGCTCACCATAGTTTGCTTCCTTGGCTGAATTCAGACAGCATGGTCCAACAGTAAACCAAACTCAACTCATGCTCACACTTTGAACACAAGTTATCATGTCATCTGAACCCAGTCAATATGCAGAACCCTTCTGTCCTTCCTTCCTTCCTTCCTTCCTTCCTTCCTTCCTTCCTTCCGGCGAAGAGCTGAATCTCAGTAGCACAACTCATGCTTTGTATGAAGGTCCATGCTGTCTCCTGTGCCTCACCAGGTAAGGGTTGGAAAGATGAACCTGGGCGATGTGCTGACGTAAACTAGACAGGTGATCAGACAGTTTCCTCTGGTCCTCCAATTCTGCTCTGAACTGCAAACACCAAGGTGGACCCCAGGCAGCCTGCTTTGTGAATGCAACCGCAACACCTTCCACAAGGACAGAGTTGGGGGATGTGAGGTCCTCCAGAAGTTGGTGAGTTCCCATCTGCCCTAGCCAGCATAGCTAATGTGAGGGAAGTTGGTGGTGGTGCTGCTGCGCCAAGAAACCAGACCTTTGGGAGTGATCACATTCCTTACCAGGTGGATAGGAATGTGAGGAGGAGTGGATTTGGCAGCTCCCAATAATGAGAATAAATCCTTCTGTACATGCTCAGAGGCAGCCTTAATTATTTAAACTGGTTCATGGTTGAGCCCAGTGACAGAAAAAACTAACCTGGTTCTACTCAAGCCTGAAATAGCGAAAGAGTGTGTGTGAGAGAGGAAGCTCTTTTGGCTTGAATACCTAATTATTGTCCCTCTGGGGCATGGACCAAAGACCTCTGCCCGTCTCCCGGCACGATACAGAACTGACAGTTCCTCACCCTCTTCCCGTCTAAGGGCTCGAATCAAGTAGTTCTTCATCAAGAGAAATAGAAATTCCACCTTCCGCCCGCAAAGCTGTTTTCCCCTTTTCTCTCTCTGTCTCTCCAATTGGCACTGTGGAAACGCGAGGACACGGTTTGCATGCTAAGAGCCTCCAACACGTCTTCTCTTGCTTTTAAGACTCTCGCCCGTCTCGGCTCCTTCCCTGCCCCTCCTCTGCCTTCATAGCCCCCTCCGTCCTCAGCTCCGAAGCCAACCCCAGAAACAGCCGATCCGGCATGACGGGCAAGGGGCAGAGGCATTGTCTGCATGACCTTTGTGCACATTCCCCCGTTTACTCTCCAGGAAATGCGATGTGCAAAATACAGTTAGCGGGCAAATGGGGCTTTTCTCCCCATGACTGGCTTTTCCCCGCCAGGACACTGCTTCCATTAACCCGAAAACACTCAGTCACATCGCCGGCAGCTTTCTTCCGACACTGATAAGCAAATGCTTGCTTTGCGCACACACACCCCACCCCTTCTTTGCCTTTACTCTGCATTTGGCGCGCCGGCTCCTCTTAGAAACCCACCGAATGCCACCGACACAATGCACAGAGACCGCTTTGTTTCCCCAGCGCAAATCCTACCTCGGAGACTTGTCACATCTTCTCTTCTCAGAAAAGCCTCACGCACAGGAGGGGGTGGGTGAGAAAGCCCCCGAAAATCGCCACCCTAATTATTAACCAAGCAGAATCCAGTGGAATCCTCTGACCTGATCCGGCAGTTGGTGAACGCTGTCATCCTTACCTCCTGACGTGTAAAGCCTTTTCGGACCTTTAATGTCACCCCCCACACACACACAACTCAGACTCCCTTGCTCAAAATGTCTGAAATAGTTTGGAAGGACAATGGGGGATGACAGCAGAACAGACAGCCTGGCTTGAAATTACTTTGCCCGAGCAGGGGGCTCTTTTTAAACGCAGAAACAAGACAAAACAAAACAACCAGAATGCCTTAGGTAAAGATTTATTAACTTGAGGTAGGCATGTGATTCCTGCTTCCGTTCAGTGCAGTTCGGCGGGTCTTTTTGGGAAACTTGGAAAGGGAAGCCAGATTCTTTGAAAGGGAAAATATGGAACTGTCCGGGGTGGGGGCGAGGGGAAAGAAAAGATAGAAAAACAATTTTGCTTGTTCCCCCCAAATCCTGCAATGCATTGTTATATCTTGCTCAGCTTCTGGGGCCCAAGCTTACCTGGGTCTGGTTCCCTTTGGTGGAGGGTTAATGGGTATTTATGATGCTTTGCAGTATCTGAGCTTATGTACAAATTTACAGGTAAAACACAGGTGGACTCAAGGAGCTGAAGCCCTCCGACAAGCAGAAAAAACACTGCCCCTTAGTGGATCCTCTGGGGAGGCACCGCTGATCCTCTTGGTGCTTTCACTTTATCTGCTTCTCTCCGTGACCATCCTGCTCTCTGTCTCTTTTTCTCAAGCTGTAGTTTTCCCTTGGATGCTTTTCACTGGGGTGATGGAGTCCTTCAGCCCAAGGGCTGAGCTTGACCTCAGAGAAGCTCTCAGGGCTGTTCTAGCAGTGGGCAGGTGTGAAGGCAAAATGCATGAGTCAAAACACCAGCATATTTTTGCTGGAAGCTCTTCCTGCAAGTACTTAAAAGAAGTATGCTTGAATGGGCACCTTCTTCTTTATCAAGCTGCTTCATCACTGAGGTCATCAGATGACACAGTCCAAGGACCAGACTGGAGTCCACCAGGAGCAGAGCCTTTGGTGTGACAGCTTCATTCCTCTGGAACTCCCTGCCCTGGGAAGGTGTTGTTTTCAGTACCTTCTGAAATGTCAGGACATCTTCTTTGGTTGATTAGCCACTGCTTTTAGTGATATTTTGTTTCTGGCACTGCATTTGATTATCTTCTTTTGTCTTTCTTACTGTTCACCACTTCACAATGTAGATGTGGAGCATTGTATACATCTTGTAAAGAAATCAGGATTTCAACTCTATAAAATGGGGAAAACGGTACAAAGGCTGAGAAGCTACCAAAGGTCCTGGCGGTAGGAGAAAGGGAAAGCGTTTGTGGCCATTGGAGAAACTGATTGGACCTCCAGGACTGTTGCATGTGGCCTCTAGGTTTGAGGCTCTGCAACGCTACTTTACACAGACTCTACCAAACCATTATCAACTCACTCACGGCTGGGAGGCAAATGTCACCTTTCTCAAATGTCTGGTGCCTTCTTTCCTTCCCTTATTTAGAACATTCTGGACTATTCTTTGGCGTCAAAGAAGTTCTTAAGAACCAGCTCACATTAAACAAAAAATAAAAATGAACCAACTATTCGGGGATATCAAGCTGCCATTTGTGTGTGTGTGTGTGTGTTGCTTGACAAGGTTACGGCCAGGTCACGAGCCATGATCATATGTGCTAATAGCTAATTCAGTTTTTTCTTTTTTTAAAACAAGTTTTATTATTTTCACTATAAATCCAAAACTAAAAACAACAATTATTCAGGACATCGGACATACTGGGTCAACATAGTGCTTTTTTCTTTATGCAAATTCAGTTTTTTCTAAGTGCCAACCATTATGTAGCCAACAATGGCAGCAACAAAACGCATGGGGCTAAAATGCCAGCAATCCTATGAATGAAAGATCTCCTAAAGATCCTGCCTTTGTCAGCCCTGCTCAACCCTGTAAATTCAAGGCTGTGGCTTCCTGTATGGAATGAATCCATCTCATATTTGGATGGAAGAAGAGAAATGCTTTTAATGAATGATATCCTGTGTAGGCATCCCAGCTAGGAGGCAGCCAAATCCCCTGATGGGGAACTGTTTTATACTGGGTCCAGATGTTTTATATTGCACCACCCAGTGGCATAGACCTCATTGTCACTGAGGTGATGAATCGGGGTGCCAGTGTGACTCATATGTTTGCATGACCTTCCATCCAAAGTGTTTTATTTGAACTGTACAGAGGTTGCTCTTCTCTCACAGTTTATAGTCTACCTAGATAGATGTGTCTGATGCTGAGGAGGAGGTGGAGGAACACAGGAGGTTGGAGGAGTTGGCAATTTCTAGGTACCCTGATGAAGTTTCTCAGGCAGAGTTTGAGCACCTGCCTGCCCTGGGAAGGGAGGGAGAGTTTTCAAAACTAGAGTAGATGGGGATGCAGGGGGAACTGCTTGACCAGGCTGGGAAATGGCAGGCGAAGCTAGTAGCCCAGTTTCAAGAGTCTGGTGTTCCCATTGTCTAGCCCACAGGGACCAGGAGCCACACTGAGGGTGGATCCCAAAGCTTTGCTGAAAGGCAGGGAATGGGGAAGTTTCAGTACGGATTCGACTACTCTGATTTATACCATTCTGTAAACAGATGGGTTTTAATACAGAAACTGTGCTTCAAAGGTTACATTTGGAGTTTGCTGAAAGTGAGAGGAAGGGAAAAGTGAGTTGCTCAGGACATAAACTGTTTAGATGGACATAAGAGTCTGCCTTATATTGAATCAGACCCTTTGTCCCTCTAGATCAGTATTGTCCATGCTGAACGTCAGCAGCGCTCCCCTATCAGGTGCACCCAGGATCTTTAAAAGTAGAGATTCCACAGGGATGCCAAGGATCTGACTGCATGCAAACATGTGTGCTCCATCCCTTGAGTGTTGATGCCTTCGCAGGGGGACACACAGCCATGTATCTCCATCTAGCTCACCTTTGTTCCTGAGAAGAGGTCTCCAGGACAATAAGAAAATTAAGCTAAGTAGGAACAGGGGAGAAACTGGTGGGTAAGAAGGTAAGAAGATTCTTCTTGGATTAAACCAAAGGCCTTTCTTGCTCAGCTTAATGCGCAATCTCCAACAGTATCATGACATGCACTCAACTAGCACCAATGAACTCTACTGCCTCTTTCTATTGTGCAAAGAATTGTCCATTAAGTTCATACAACTGGATGTGAGAGTGGGAACGTTCAGCCTCTTGTACAGTGCATTGTACATCCCAAATGTGCAACCAGTTGGGCAAGTCTAATGCACTACCATTTGTGCAGTTACAGTCACACACATGCAATTTTAGTTGACCTCTTGTCTTGTGCAGAGTTCTGAACCTTGTATCCAGTAGCGCAATGTCATTTGTGCTAATGGAACAACACAGCTGCTTATGCAACACCCATGAGCAGGATGTGACTACATCAGCACCCTCTTGCTCGTACTCTCTGGCAACTGGTAATGAGAGACACAATGTCTGCAACATTGGAGGTCGTATAGAGTTGCCATGGCAAGTCGCCATGAATAGTCTTACTCTCCATGAATGCATCTAATCTTCTTGCAAAGCTGTCCCAGCTGGCAACTATCACTACACCGCGTGGCGTTTTAATGCATGCCTACCTAATTTGCACTGCCAGGACCAATGTGTGAATCAAAAATGCAGTTATCCTTCAGTATTTACACTTCTCAGAACACTGTGATGCATTGCCCCAGTAAGAAAATACATTAAAATTTGTAGATTAGGTATTCGTGTGGATAAAAACATGTACACTAGTAAAAATGACAAATATGCATTATATTAGAGAATGTTCCTCAAGAAATATCAGGCAAAATAACTCATTAAAATTATCTTATTATCATTGCTATCACTATTCATATTCCACTTTTTGCTCTAAGAGCAAGCCCAGAGCAGCTAGCAACCACACCAATTTTTGCATGGGTTAAACAAAATCAAACTGCAACCAGCTGGGGGGAAATGGGAAGAATGGGGAAGTAGTGAGAGAAAATGGGCCGGTTCGTTCATTGTTGTTGTTATGTGCCATTAAGTTGTTTCTGAGCCCAACGCCTGGGCAGTGCATGCAGGTTAACTTCTGGCAAGCACATGGGAGTAACTCAGGCTTGGGCTTCTGCAAAGTGGGCTGGAGTCTGGGGAGCTGAGTCCAGGGAATCTAAGGGGTTCCCATCCCCCAAAAAGATTCCTCCTGCATCCAAAAATAAAAGCACCCTTGACTGGGGCAGAAAAGGAGCTGGGTGAACAAACACTGGGTGGAGAACGAACTCCAGAAGACTTTTGTGAATGGAGTCTCTGTGGGGAGGGTAGACCCTTGGTAATCGTGGGGACAAGCCCACCTTGCTGCTGGCCCTGCAGGGGAGGAGGTTGTAAACATCCCTCCCTGTGTTTAATGGTCCTAATCTGTACTGGGATACTTCAAGGTTACTTGCAAATACAGAAATAGTAGGGGATTCTCTGCATGCCGGTTATTTAGCATAAGGTGCAGCTTGGTCCCTTCATTCTCCAATTCTATCCATAAGTGCCCCTACATTTGGTGCTTGATGGTTTATTGGCTTTTATGATGTTGACGCTATAGATAAAGTTGGGTAATAGTAGCAGTGATTTATACCCGTGAGACAGCATTATTGCTAATACAGTTGGAGCAATAGTCCGTAATCTACTGGAAGCCAATTTGGTATTTTTCCTTCTATGTTTTAGAGGACAAGTGTCCAGCATTGCGCAGCTGTGAATAATGCTCTTGGCTAGCTTTGAAGACAGCTCTCACAAAATATCCGAAGGAGAGAACCCCTTCATGTAAAAATTGCACACTTTTCAGAAATCCCATTCAGTCCGTGTCATTGGGTAATGATCGCCACCATCACCATTAGGTTGTCAATGCACTTCCCTGTGCGTTTGCAGATAAAACTAACCCTTGCTGAAATGTTGCTAACTTAAAAAAATAATGACCCAAGTAAAAGACTAGAGCAGTGGGGGAGAAGACAAAAGGGTAAGA